TTTCCCTGCTACTCCCCCACGTTCCGATGTGTATTTAAAAGGTGACTCTCTCCTTCCTGCGGATCGAGCTTGAAAATTCAGCCTCGTCTCTGACCCTACTTCCCAGCTAGCACCACGCAGGCCAGGACTTGCCATTTCTGGGTCTGTTAGCCTGTCTGAAATGGCCTCCAGACGATCTCTCCACCCTGACCTGAGACAACCTCCTGGTTTCATCTGTAATCATTCTGGTCCCTGTACGAGACACAGGCTCACCACATGAAAATCCGTGCTCATTGTTCCCTAAACATATGTGTCTTCATTTCTCCTTTGGAATGCCCTTCCTCCCATTCCTCCTGCACCCCAAATGTGCCTGGACTCACTACTGTTCATCCTGCAAGGTCCAGAGAATACTCAGTGCCAGTCAGTAAAGGAGATCGAAGGTGTATCCAGAGATGTGAGATTATATAGGTCATGGGGAAACAGCATTTTAAGAAAGGATGATCAAAGGGTATTATTGTTTAGGAAGGAATGAAAATGAGGATTTAGAAAAGTCCTCTCATGACTCTTCACAGAACTGTCCATCTCATTATTTCCAACTCCTCCCCTCCTTCTTCCTTAAGCCCACCTGGCTGGGTATCGCTTCCCTCCCTCACAGAAACTATGGCCCGGTTGTCACTGGCCTCCATGCTGTGAACCCAGTGCTCAGCTCCCAGTCCTCCTTTTGCTCTAAAACTTGCTCCTTACCATCTCAGTTGGTAACAGCTCCATTCTTCCAGATGATCAAGCCCCCCCGAGCCTGGCAGTTTTCCTAGATACCACTCTTTCTCTCAGAACCTTAGCTCTATCCCTCAGATTAGATCCAGAATTATCACCTTTTATCCCCTCCCTACTACCACAGAGGTACCAGCCATAATTTTCATCTTTTGCCTGAATTCTGATCCATTCTGGCTTTTTGACCGCTCTCTCATGCTTTCCCACCTCAATCTATTCACGACACAGTAGCCAAAAAGATCGTGTTGGAACCTAAGTCAGATCATGCTGTTTCCTCACCCCATTTCAGTCAGTGAAAAGTAATGTACTTACTGTGGCCTCAAAGGATTACGTAATCAGATCTTAGCTCTTCCTTTCTCCCCTCTGGCTCACCCTACCCTAGCTGCTCCGGCTCCCTGATGCAAGTGTGAGAGGCTGCTCCTCATGCCTGCAAAGCTCATCCTTCAGATATCCATGTGACCACCTCCCTCACCTCAATCAAGTCTCTGCTATAAGAAGCCGACCCTTACTTTGCTCTGTTTTTTTCTTTTTCCATTGCACTTGCCACTTTCTGATACATTATGATTTACTTACTTGTCATGTATATCATCTGTCTTTCCCTGCTAGAATGTAACATTGGTGTCCACCCATGTATCCCAAGCATGGGCAATAATACTTGGCACATAGCAAATACCAAGCATTGGGTGAGTGAGAGAACAAAGGACGTTTGAGAATAGCTATATGAAGTGCTAAGAACCTAAACTAGTTTACATGGGTCCTGCAGCAAATGCATGTGAAGAAATGGAACCACAGAGGGAAAGGACTTTGTAATTGTGTAAGCTTTTCCACTCCTTTATCTGGTCATTTTGGATATATGAAAAATGTATCTATTTGAAAACTTTTATTTTTTTAAATTTAAAAACATACTGTAAGATTCAACGTGAACATCTTAAGCATCAATATAAAAGGACCATGGCATACTTAAATATTTATAATACTGATTGCCCTTAAGTATTTATTCAATATACTGGCAGTTCCAGCATAACACTAAATCATATGCAATTCAAAAAAACTGAGCAAAAACTTGTTAATTTTTCAAATAAAAGCAAATCATTGGTAAGCACCTATTTTTTACTTTTTGCTATAGTAAACAACAATTAGAAATTTAAAAAATATAATAATATATAATAAAATATAAATAAAAATATATGGTAAGCAACAAATGCTATGAAACTAAATATATAAATAGTATAGTGTTTGTTTTTGCTCTTAGTTGTAATAATTTAGTGAATTAGCAGAGAAAGTAAATCAAATTAAAAAAATAAAGTCAACTTACACTTGGTTCTCTTAATAGTTCATTTACCTAATAGAGGATTGTTTCAGTGGAATATTCAGTGAAGATTTTGGTTTCTTTGAAGTATATTACAGTAATTGTACTGTATTTTAGAAATTAAATGTCTAAAGTATTTGCAAATCATAACAGTACACATTAGGTGAGAAGTTCTATTTCCTCTTTTTTTTCACATGCTAGATAATTTCTATGTAGTCTGGGCTTAGAGGCCCTTCTGGACATTTGTTTTAATACATACTTGCCTCTTAACCTGTGCCAGAAACCCAGAAAGGGTTTGCTAGAGCCTAGATTATCAGCCTAGGCTCAGGCCATAGCTGTCCCGTGTCTTTGAGCAGTGGACTCAGTGCTTACCTCACTGCCTGGCACAGAGAGGATGCTCTGAGGACTATTGAATGCAGAAATCTGCACTCCAACAAAGGCTCTAGTTCTGCGATATTAATAGTTTTATGTTTATTCAAGGACTCCTGTTTGTTTGTAAAAATAAAAGCAAAATTTCATGAGCCAATAGAGATATAATAGGTATCTCTAAAATGTAATGCGTGTATGTGTATATATGTGTATGTGTAAGAGTATGTAAATACATACACATATACTCACACGTGCCTTAAAAACATACTGTACCTTATATGTCTGAGACACAGTGGTGTTTATGAGTAAAATTATATGATGTCTTGAATTTGCTTTAAAATATGCCAGCAGGGCCAGCCCTTTAGCACAGTGGTTAAGCCCTGTGTACAAGGATCTGGATTCCACACGGCCAACAGTGGCTCAAACTCCAGTACTACCAGCTTGATAAACATACAATGTGCACATGTATGTGTACCCCAAATTCTGATAGGATGGAAAAACAGAGAAAAAAGGACTTCAGTGTGATCCTGCTTCACTGGAGCATGATTGCTCTCGCTCTCTGATAAGTGCATGCACCCATTGGCAATACAAATTACAGCAGAAAAGTGTGTCGATGTGGAACAGATTAAGCAGAGTGGAAAATTCTATTAACTGGTCGATCTAAGGTACTCAGAGGTTCTTAATACTGTTCTTAATTATTCTTTGTATGGTTTGAAGTTTTTGATAATAAAATAGTACATTAAAATAAATTCAATAATAAAAATAGCAAAGACAAAATAATATTTTCAATGATCAGAACTCCTGTATATATGTAAGATAATTGGATATTTTGCAAAGATCAGTACAGTACTATTGAGTCATCAGAAAAGTCATAACTTATTTTTTCTATGTTTCTCTGTGCAAAAATGCATCATGACTTTTCTGACAACCCAATATTTTTATGACATTGTTGTAATAGTGAAACACTGGTAACAAATTGTCATTCAACTGGGGCCTAGTTAAATATATGCACCCATATATAATAAGACGCTATGCAAACGATAAAAGAAAAAACAGTCAAGTCAAAAAGGAGATCCCACAGCAGCAGGTAGAGCTGGATTCATGTTCTCGGGATGAGTATAAGAGGCACCTGGGATGAGGGTTCATCCAATATTCAGAACAGTCATCTCTGCAAAAAGGAATAACAGGTAGTTTCTTACTTTTTTCTTGAAACTTTATTACTTAAACTTTTTACAGGATTATTTTTAATTTTATATTTGTGGGAAACTATTTTCTGTAACGATATCTTACAATTTTTCTCATTATGTTATTCTTTCTAGCTCATACAATGATTTGTAATTTAAAAAATTGTGTCAGGTCTTTAATAATTCAATGTGGGAAAGTGCTACCCTATTTCTAAAAAAGTGAGATTTGGAATAGATTTTATTTATTTCTAAAAATGCAAGTAATGTTTTAAAATAAAACATTGTTTTTCATCAACCACCCACTGAGTACATTAAATATTAAGCTATCAAAAACTACCTAAAACATACCATTATAACATATATAGGAAAATACTTACATACCTTTTGGTTAATTCAAATCAGGCTGAAAAGTTTCCTAGTTATAGGAAGAAATAGCATTTTTTTTTTTGAGAGGTTTTTGCTACAGGGCGTGTATGCTCGCCAGGAAGACACAGGCAGAGAGACAGAAAGCAAGAAATCACCTGCAGCGGGGATGGCCATGTCACAATCCCTTTTCCTCCAGTCTCCTCTCAGGATCTTGGGCACGCACGTACACGCACCCAGTGTGAGTTTAAGACACCAGGTCCAGGACTCAAACTGCAGTCGACTACATGGGAATCTAGCGACATAGCCATTATACCAACTGCTGGTCCCAGAAATAGCGTTTTGAAGAGAAAAGAAGAAAATGTTTTCTAGTTGGTTCTTAAAGAATTTGAATTGAAAATATTCCAATAGTTCTCTGCAAAAAGTTTTCGTGGCTATTTTAGTAATATGTTTTTTCTTAGACTACAACAGATGGCAAAATGGAATAAAATGTAATTTCCAGATGCATGGTTTTGTGAATTCAGTGCCATGGAGTCGGCATTATCAACTAAACTTCAAGTTTAAATTTAGCCAGTATTGTAGCACTTTTGGGATAAATTTTAACTTAATGATTAACCTTGAGATATCATGTAAGGTATAATATTTTGGGTAAGATTCCCCCAAATTAGGTATCGCAGTAGTTGTCAGAATCTTACATTTTCAGACAGTTTACTGCTGCCACGCCCTTTTCCTAGCCCATAAAGATCCCTAGAACAGAGCAGGAGCTCACTGACAGTGTGACCTCTCTCCACTCCTTCCTCTGTGGGGGCCTTTACTATGTCAAACAGCGACTCTGTACAGTCCTTATTCAAGGGATGTATTCCCACCATTTCCTATTTTCTTACTGACTTTAATATTTCAGGGAATAAAAAATATCTCCTTCTTTGCAAGAGATTGGGGATCCCTAAATTTGGCAATCTCAATTCAGATAAAGAAAAACAAATCAAAAAGTTTCACTTCATTACCTGGTGGACATTTCTTTCTTTCCTGTCTGTGTTCTAAACTTTAGGAATGATGAGAGATTTCTCATGTTTTGATTTATCCAAATCATATATCTGTATCAGAGTGAAAAACAGCATTTTGTTACAAGTTACAAATTAATTATTGCTATCATACGTCAATAGCATTTTGTTATTAATTAACACAACTGTGTAAATATAATTATATAGTTGTGCTAGGATAGATATTCTGTTTCCTAAACATTGTATTTCTAGATGATTTGGGACAAATCATTTCAACCATTATTTAAGTGGTTTTAAATATCTAGCCTGTGAGGACGATCACCAGATTAAACTTTTTGTTTACCTGGTTCCTAGAACTGGATTGCCCATAATGGAGAGTAGTGGAATGATGCTTTTTTGAAGTTTTTGAAGACTCTGGGTGTAGTTTTCTTTTAGTCCTGTGGGTGATTCCATTTACTATCAACTTGTGGTCACTTACATGGACTTCTTCAGTTTGATTTGCTGATTGTTGTTCTAATGGTTGAGGATCTTCCATTTCTGCATCTGATTCAAAAATGTGTGGTTGTCTTTTCAATTTTAGTGATTCATGGCCTTTCCCTAAAATTTGTTTTATACATTTGCTTTTTAAATTTTCTTTTCCACTCACTTGGAAGTCAGCAGTACCTTGTATCACAGCTAAATTGTTACTTGACATCTGAGATATTGAACTAATAGGTAGTTGCTTACTTTCATTTAACCTGACAGTTGATTTTACATTAGAAGAGGGATATTTTGTTATATTTTCATAGGACTCGGTATTTTTTTCTTGCAGAGGTCTGGAACTCTTCTGATTTAAATTTCTAGCCTGCATTTGAATGTTCGATCTTTTTTTAATAGCTGGATTTGAATTCAGTGTGTCATCCTGGATCATACCAGTCTTGAGTGAAAACAATTTAGATTCTGTAACAATATGTTGTTTTCTTTTCGAGTTGCCAAGTGCCAAGCTATTTTTGTTCATCTGTAACATCCTGTTTTTAAAAATTGGCATGTATTTAGGGGTGCCATTACATTGGGAGCTCAGATTTACATGTTGAACTTGAGAATTTCCTCCGTAGGGCTTTAATATTTCCAAATGTTCCTGCCGTACCTTGCAAGACAGAGATTGCCTCCCATCCTGAGCAGAGTCTGGGCTAAGGTGTAGAGCTGAGGCACTGTCTGACTTTGGCTGGCTGAGTGAGAGCGCCACCTTATGGTCTGCTGCCACAGAGCAGTGAACAGCACTTTGAGATAAGGCAGGTTTTATGCAAGTGGTTTCCGTCAGAGGAGCCCTGAATGTTTTTTTAGTTGTCAAATTGGGTGGCTTGACTTTGTTTTCCTGAAAGGATAGAGATTAGGAAAATTTTAAATGCAATAATGTCCTTAATGTAAAATATATATAAATATAATCAAAATAAGAATTAAAAAGTAACACAATGATATATAGAACAGGCAAAAAACCCACAAAATATAAATGAGTCTTCTGGTGGAGATGGGGACATTTCTTATCATTTGTATTCTTCTTTTGAGATCATTTCCTCAAGATATTTTAATATGAAAGTATGTTATAAATTCTATATAAATCAACCATAAAAACTATGTACCTAAGCACTCATTGTTCTCCAAATACGCTCATGCTGGTATCTTGCTCAGAACGTTTCTCTCCTCTCTACACTGATTTAAGTTGTGGCTTCCTCTAAACTCTTAACATCTCACCTCCTCTGAATCCTCCACCAATTAAACTACCACAGAGGGAGTGCTTTTCTCTCAACTCTTCAAGGATTTAGATCAGTTATATACAATTTGTCACACACACACACACACAGTACAAGGTAGTACCCTTATCTTTTAGTGTGTATTTCTCAGTAGATACAGTATCTTTGGAGGTTAAACACCATGGCATCTATTCTTATATTCTTCACAGTTACTTAAAAGCACTTGCTGAAAGAAGTTAAATCAATGGAGGAAGTAGTTATATTTACACTAGGCCTTTATGAATAAGTAGGACTTGATTACTGAGGCACTGGGGGTTAGAACTTTAACATATGAATTTTGGAAGTAAACAAATTAACCCCTAATAAGGTTTGACAAATTCCCCTGGAGAGAGCAAAAAGGGATGCAGTTACTTTTCTTTTTTTTTTTAAGAGATTTTTTGCTATAGGGCGCTTTGAGCTTGCCAGCAAGACAGAAAGCGAGAAATCATCCCCAAGGGGGGATGGCCATGCCGCAATCCCTCTTCCACCATTCTCCTTTCAGGATTTTGGACTCACATGCACACACACCTGGCATGAGTTTTAATTCACTGGGTCTGGGACTTGAACTATGGTTGACTATGTGGAAGTCCACCAATGTAACCATTTCTCCATCTGCTGGTCCCTTATACAACTACTTTTCTGAAGACCCTTGTACAAAAGAACTAACTAAAAATGGTCTGATAAAACTTATACACACTGGACCAGTAGATGGTGTAATGATTGCTTCACTGGACTCCCACATGGCCGACCATGGTTAGAGTTCTGACTCAGAGGCTTGAAACTCATATTGGGTGTGTATGCATGTGTGCCCAAAATCCTGCGAGAAAAATGGAGAAGGGATTGTGGCATGGGCATCCTCCCTGGAGAGTGATTTCTTGCTTTCTGTCTCTGTCTGTCTCTGTCTCTCCAGTGAGTGCCCGCACCCGATAGTAGTAGAAAATACAGCTCAAAAACAACCAAAACAGCACTTAGACACACCATCTTTGTCAAGATACCATATTTAAGTGGAGACTACCAACATCAGACTAATCTAGGTCAAGTGGTGAGAATGCCCACTCCTCTATCTCCCAGCTGTGACTGTGTAACAGACATGGTGAACTGGTGTTCCTTCCTACACTAGAGCCTGAAAATCTAAAATGACTTTTTTTTTTTTTTTTGCAGCTAGAGTTCAGATGTGATTTGTGATTTAGAACCAGCCAATCAGATGCACTCATAAAATATTTGGGAAGATGAAATAAGGTAAAGCCATACTACTGCTATTTCTGGTGAAAAGCTTAATTATGAATGACTTTGATTTTAGGTTGCAGAGGCAGCATAAGCTCATGTTTCCACTCACCCCTCTGTAGGCATCCAGAGCAGACCTTGGGGGATCCATTTATCTTACTACCAACCACAGCCACAGCAGGCAAATGTAGCAATGCACTTCACCACATACTATTGGCCTCACCCTACATAAGTTTTCCCCCGAATATAGATGCTATCATGAGAAGGATTCATAAATTTGATTGAAATTCTACCTCAAGAAGACGGCAGAAGTGACTGAGTCATCTTGAAGTGTCCAGATAGATTTTTTTCTTTTTCTATTTGATAGAAAAAGTTCAAGAACTAAGTTGAAATCAATTATGGAAAAAGTAAAGAGCACTCAGTTTTTGGAAACTTGTATTGCATAAGCTGAAGTAATTAAAAAAATTATTTTTATAAAGCAAAAATAACAGACATTTTTTTTCCACAGAGAAATTTGCATTTCTTTGTTAAACATTCCTTCCCTTTGCTCCCCCCACTCTCCCCCTCCCACTGACTCTCTGCTGTTCACATCCCTTCCTTACAGTTCCTTGTATCTACACTTATCTTCTCTACTACCAGTGTGCAGACCTTCAGTACACACTGAGTGGGGATATTCAGTTAGTATCTTTCAAAGTCTGATTCCCTTTGCTTAATATTAAGTCTTTTACACTCATTCACTTTGGATGAAATGATAGAGTCTCATTGTTTCTTATGGCTGAGTAATATTCCATAATGTAAATGTGTTACAATTTTTCAATCTAGTCATCAGTTTTTGGACACTTTGGCTGATTCCATGTCGTATTAATTGTGAATAATGTTATGATAAACATGGATGTAAAAGTGTTTTTACAAGTGAGTATTTTTTTATCCTTTGGGTAAATACTAAGGAATGGGGTTACTAGGTCATATGCTAATTCTCTTTGCAGGTTTTTGAGGAAACTCCATTTTCACAGAGGTTGTACTAATTTATGTTCCCACTAACAGTGTAAGAGGGTTCCCTTTTTACCATGGCTTCACCAGCACTTGTTGTTCATATGCATTTTGGCCATTTATAAGTCTTCCCTGGAGAGCTGTCTGTTAAGTTTATGTCCTTTATGAATAAGTAGGACTTGATTACTGAGGCACTGGGGGTTAGAACTTTAACATATGAATTTTGGAAGTAAACAAATTAACCCCTAATAAGGTTTGACAAATTCCCCTGGAGAGAGCAAAAAGGGATGCAGTTACTTTTCTTTTTTTTTTTAAGAGATTTTTTGCTATAGGGCGCTTTGAGCTTGCCAGCAAGACAGAAAGCGAGAAATCATCCCCAAGGGGGGATGGCCATGCCGCAATCCCTCTTCCACCATTCTCCTTTCAGGATTTTGGACTCACATGCACACACACCTGGCATGAGTTTTAATTCACTGGGTCTGGGACTTGAACTATGGTTGACTATGTGGAAGTCCACCAATGTAACCATTTCTCCATCTGCTGGTCCCTTATACAACTACTTTTCTGAAGACCCTTGTACAAAAGAACTAACTAAAAATGGTCTGATAAAACTTATACACACTGGACCAGTAGATGGTGTAATGATTGCTTCACTGGACTCCCACATGGCCGACCATGGTTAGAGTTCTGACTCAGAGGCTTGAAACTCATATTGGGTGTGTATGCATGTGTGCCCAAAATCCTGCGAGAAAAATGGAGAAGGGATTGTGGCATGGGCATCCTCCCTGGAGAGTGATTTCTTGCTTTCTGTCTCTGTCTGTCTCTGTCTCTCCAGTGAGTGCCCGCACCCGATAGTAGTAGAAAATACAGCTCAAAAACAACCAAAACAGCACTTAGACACACCATCTTTGTCAAGATACTATATTTAAGTGGAGACTACCAACATCAGACTAATCTAGGTCAAGTGGTGAGAATGCCCACTCCTCTATCTCCCAGCTGTGACTGTGTAACAGACATGGTGAACTGGTGTTCCTTCCTACACTAGAGCCTGAAAATCTAAAATGACTTTTTTTTTTTTTTTTGCAGCTAGAGTTCAGATGTGATTTGTGATTTAGAACCAGCCAATCAGATGCACTCATAAAATATTTGGGAAGATGAAATAAGGTAAAGCCATACTACTGCTATTTCTGGTGAAAAGCTTAATTATGAATGACTTTGATTTTAGGTTGCAGAGGCAGCATAAGCTCATGTTTCCACTCACCCCTCTGTAGGCATCCAGAGCAGACCTTGGGGGATCCATTTATCTTACTACCAACCACAGCCACAGCAGGCAAATGTAGCAATGCACTTCACCACATACTATTGGCCTCACCCTACATAAGTTTTCCCCCGAATATAGATGCTATCATGAGAAGGATTCATAAATTTGATTGAAATTCTACCTCAAGAAGACGGCAGAAGTGACTGAGTCATCTTGAAGTGTCCAGATAGATTTTTTTCTTTTTCTATTTGATAGAAAAAGTTCAAGAACTAAGTTGAAATCAATTATGGAAAAAGTAAAGAGCACTCAGTTTTTGGAAACTTGTATTGCATAAGCTGAAGTAATTAAAAAAATTGTTTTTATAAAGCAAAAATAACAGACATTTTTTTTCCACAGAGAAATTTGCATTTCTTTGTTAAACATTCCTTCCCTTTGCTCCCCCCACTCTCCCCCTCCCACTGACTCTCTGCTGTTCACATCCCTTCCTTACAGTTCCTTGTATCTACACTTATCTTCTCTACTACCAGTGTGCAGACCTTCAGTACACACTGAGTGGGGATATTCAGTTAGTATCTTTCAAAGTCTGATTCCCTTTGCTTAATATTAAGTCTTTTACACTCATTCACTTTGGATGAAATGATAGAGTCTCATTGTTTCTTATGGCTGAGTAATATTCCATAATGTAAATGTGTTACAATTTTTCAATCCAGTCATCAGTTTTTGGACACTTTGGCTGATTCCATGTCGTATTAATTGTGAATAATGTTATGATAAACATGGATGTAAAAGTGTTTTTACAAGTGAGTATTTTTTTATCCTTTGGGTAAATACTAAGGAATGGGGTTACTAGGTCATATGCTAATTCTCTTTGCAGGTTTTTGAGGAAACTCCATTTTCACAGAGGTTGTACTAATTTATGTTCCCACTAACAGTGTAAGAGGGTTCCCTTTTTACCATGGCTTCACCAGCACTTGTTGTTCATATGCATTTTGGCCATTTATAAGTCTTCCCTGGAGAGCTGTCTGTTAAGTTTATGTGTACATTTTAAAATTGGATTATTGACTTTTTTTTTATGAGTCAGCTACTTGTGTTCCCTATATATTCTGGTTG